GCTTTCTCATGCTAAAAGGAAATGAAAGGGGGTTTCCCCATCGTGCCCCCGTACCGAGGGTCTCTGGGCGGGTTCCTGAGGTGCGCGTGCCCGCCTTGCTCCATTAATGCGAATTGACATTTAGCGCATCCTCTCCAGATGGTTCGTGAGCCCAGGCTGTCAGTCACCATAAAAACCCTAAGCAGCGCTCCTGTCCCCGGCCATATGCGACGCGTCCACCATGATTAACCTCTGCTGGCGCCGCCGCCTCCCCGTGCCCGGCCATGGCAGGGGCTGTGAGGAGGGACGGGGAAGGGATGCTGGGTTCGGGCATCGCTGGCTTTAGCTGCTCCTAGGTCTGGGAATATTGTCTTTTCCCCTTTTTAATCTCGCGTGGGAAGGCTCAGCGCAGACCTGGCAGCTGGAGGGGATGCGGTGCCACCGCAAGAACGTCTTGGCAGCTCCCGAGCGGGACAGTGTGGAGAAATTCTCCAGCTTGAGCAATCCCCTGAGCCTGGCGTGCCAGCAGGGCTGGCAAAGCCTCGGGGATGACGCCGAGCCCCTGCCTTGCTCCCCTGCTCCTCTCCGAAGTGCCCGCTGCATCCCCGGGCCGTCTGGCAGGAGCAGGCAGATTTTAACGGCGGTGGTAATTAAGCCAGGGACAGCTTAACAAGGCAGCTGGAGAGACTCTGCCACGTGAAATAGTTCCAGAGGGAATACTGCTCCTAAAATCAGCTCTAGTTTAGCTAGCATGATGTGCGGCTCTGGATTGCCGGGGCGATGTGCCTCTCTCCTCCTCTTCCTCCTCCTCCCTCTCCCAGAGTCCCAGGGTCAGCCCAAGGCACGGGTCCAGGGCAGCCCCGTCTGCCAGGGAATTGCTTCAGCTCATCTGCATCCCTGTGTGAAAGCACATCTCCTGCCTCAAATCTGGGGGCGTTCTTGGGCAGTGAAGCCGGGGGGAGCAAGCCCTGGCCCCAGCCTGGCAATGCCCGGCATTGCTTCTTCTCTGCCACATCCATCCCTGGTCCTTTGCTGGACGTCTCCAGCCATTCCCAGCCAGGGCTGGGCTCCCCCGTGACACACAAGCAAGCAATACCATGGAGAAACGGGGACTGGCCGCCCCAGGTACGCAACCAAAGTTGTACCTATATCTTCCGACACCAGCACGGCTGTCCCAGGGGTGGTCAAGCATGGCCAACCCTTCCTGAAGCTGCTGCCCCCAACGTCCACCCGCTCTTTCCCATGCTCACAGGCAGCATTTCCCTTCTCACATGCTGGATTTGTGTGGGTACGGCCAGGGCGAGCCCCCGGCCCATCGCCGGTGAGCCATTGGTGCTCTGCGGGAGGCAGAGGGCTGCAGGGGGTTGTCGGGGGGGCTGGGGGGGCTCCATGCCCCGCGCGAGGCTTTTGGGCAACCAGCTGGGAAACGAAGGGCAGAGATTTGTTTCAAGCAAATGTGCAAACCCTTCTGCTCTGCCTTTAGCTTACTGAACGGTGGCGGTGGGTGCTGGGGGAGCCTGGCAAGGGGCCGGGGCTGCTCAAGCAGAGCAGGAGGATGGACAGAGGTGGTGCCCCCGGACAGACAGGAGCTGGGTCCTGATCGAGAGCGTGGCCAAGGGGTGCAGCAGGTCGCTAACCATTTCCCTTGGATTATGTGGGCTTCATTCTGCTCCCATCCCTGTCTTCCAGGAACAACCCCAGGAGCAACTGGTCTGGCTATTAAAGACCGAGGCAAAGGCGGCATGAAGCACCTCAGCCTTCTCCTCATCCTTCGTCACTGGGTTTCCCCCTGCATCCAACGAAGGATGGAGATTCTCCTTAGCTCTCCTTTTGTTATTAATGTATTTATGGAAACATTTTTTATTGTCTTTTTACGGCAGTAGCCAGATTAAGTTCTATTTGGGCTTTGCCCCCTTCTTGTTTTCTCCCTGCGTAACCTCACGACATCCCTGTAGTCCTCCTGAGATCCCAGCCCCTTCTTCCAAAGGTCATAAACTCTCCTTTTTATTCTGAGCTCCAGCCAAAGCTCTCTATTCAGCCAGGCCGGTCTTCTCCCCCGCCAGCTTGTCTTTTGTCACACGGGGATGTCCTGCTCTTGTGCCTTTGAGATTTCCTTCTTGAAGAGCATCCAGCCTTCCTGGGCTCCCTTGCCCTCCGGGTCTGCCTCCCAAGGGACTCTGCCAACCAGGCTCCTAAAGAGGCCAGAGTCTGCCCTCTGGAACACTGAGGCAGCAGTTCTGCTGACCCCTCCTTACTTCTCCAAGAATCGAAAGCTCTTACCATTTCATGATCGCCGTGCCCAAGACGGCCTCCAGCCACCGCATCACCCACCCGTCCTTCTCTGTTCCCAAACCACAGGTCCAGCGGGCACCTTCCCTCACTGGCTCCACACCTGCTGTGTCAGGAAGGTCTCTTCCAGACCTTCCAGGAATCTCCTGGACTTCCCTCTCCACTCTGTTGTATTTCCAGTGTTGTATTTCCAGCAGACATCTGATGAGTTGAAGCCCCCCACAAGAACAAGGGCTGGTGTTGTGAGACTTCTCCCAGCTGCTTGTAGAATATTTCATTGGCCTCTTCATCCTGGTTGGGTGGTCTATAACCGACTCCCACCATGGTACCTGCCTTGCTGGCCTTCCCCCTGATTCCTCCCCATAAAGACTCAACCTTATTGTCACCATCGTTAAGCTCTGGAGAATCGAAACCCTCCCTAACGTACAGGGCTCCCCCACCACCTCCCTTCCTTGCCCGTCCCTTCTGAAGGGTTTATAGCCATCCATGGCAGCTCTCCAGTTGTGCCAGTCATCCCATGATGCTTTCATGATGGCAACTATATCACAGTTCTCTTGCTGCCCAATGGCTTCCAGCTTCTCCTGTTGGTTGCCCATGCTGCATGCATTGGTGCAGATGCACTTCAGTTGGGTTATTGATCCCACCACCTTTCTGGAGGGGAGAAGCCCTAATTCCTACGTGACCACTCTCAGGCGCTTCCATGGTTTCTAACACATCCATGACCCTTGCATCTTTGCTGCTGCAAAGTTTCTGACGTGCTCCGAAATTCCTCTTGGCCCCGTGAGAGCTCTGTGCTGGGACAGGTCCCCCTTTTGCTGCTCAGCACCCTCCTGCGAGCTGTGCCTAACCCGACCACGTGCCTTTCAGCATCTCCCCCTGCTTGCTCCTCTGTCACTGATTGTCCTCGTATCTCCCTAATTATTCCAGTTGCCTTCCTAATGAGTTGCAGCACGCGTATGTCAAGAGCCATGGATGGAAGGTAATGCACATCGGCCACCAGCTCTGTGCCGATGACCAGGGTAGTCTGGCACCGGTTAGATCTGTCACGACCAGGAGGAGCTGACCTGCCGAAACCCGCCCAGCACTGCCAAAATGCCATGTTACGCCAAGAGCAATCGGGAGCAATGAGTCAGGACCTGCAACATGTGGGATGGTGGAAAGGGTGGGGGTCTATATGTGGGGCACACCATTGGGGGGGTGTACGTGTGGAGTTGGTTCAGGGACACCCCCCCAACGGATGCAAAGTGCAAGCAGGAGGTGAGAAGTGTTATCCCCTAGTGTGGTTTGGTACTGGAATGGCACATGTGGAGATGCTCTGCTGTTAGAGGGGTAATGTGGTGTGTGATGGAGACATGGAGATGGAAGCACCAGGGCAGGGTTAGGTTGGACATTGGGAAAAATTTCTGCACTGAAAGCGCTGTCAGGCACTGGAAGGGGCTGCCCTGGGAAGGGGTCGAGTCCCCATCCCTGGAGGGATTTAAAAGCCGGGCAGAGGCGGTGCACAGGGACAGGGTTTAGTGGTGGGATGGCAGGGGTAGGGGAGTGGTTGGGCTGGGGGAGCTTGGAGGTCTTCTCCAACCTAAATGATTCCATGATTCTATGATTCTAAGGAGGGACACAGGATAGCAATCACACATGGGAAGATGTACCTGGCTTGCCTAGAGCCACAGCTTCACTCTTGACCGGAGCAGAGGAGCCCTTGCCTCTGTGCCTGCCCAGTCCTGCGCCGCTGGATATCCCGGAGCTTTCCCAAACCCCCCCCGGCCACGGTGCTGGGGCCAGAGCCCTGGGTGGTGCAGCTGGAGGGGTGTTTGGTGCTGTGAAAAACATCTCCTTGGCTTGGGATCCGGTGGCCCTGAAGGGGCAGGAGCTTCTCCTTTTGTGTCCCTGTGCTGGGACTCTGCAGCAGCGGCTCAAAGCCAGAGGCTGGTGGCCACCGCACGGGCTCCAGGATTTCTCCGGGACAGGGTTGCCCCGTGCGAGCGTCCTGCGGAAGATGCCCCGAGAGTGGAACAGGTATTTCAGGGTAACGAAAAGCGAAAGGTTGCCAAGGATTCACCGAGGATGCATACCCGAAATGGAGCGAGGTGAACCAGACTGGTTTGGGATTCCAAGCCATTGCTCCCCGGGCCAGTAAGACCCGGCCACTGGTCCCCTGGGGCTGCCCTCCCCTCTCCCTGGGGCACCTGCACTGGGTGGCCAACCTGCACATCCTCTGCCAGAACACATTAATGAACACCTCGTTAGCTGATTACCAGAGGGCTAATCCCACTGGGTCCCGAAACCCCCGTCCTCCTTGGGCAGGCGGGGTCGCTGAGCATCCCTGCACCGGCGCCGCATCCCTGCGTCAGCACCAATACATCTGCCCCGCAGCAAATGCTCAGGTGGGAGCAGGAGTGGGGCACTAACGAGGGCACTAACGAGGGTACTAATGAGGGTACTAATGAGGGCACCTAACGAGGAGACGGAGCAGAGCAGGGACAGGCTGGGTGCTGGGAATGGCTTGTGGACTGGCTCGCCCCTAAGGAGAGCCCACAGCCGAGACGGAGCGTCGCAGCAGCACACAGGCAAGGAGATGGCTGTTTGTTTTCAGATTACTGGGAAAGGCTACGTTTGTCAAATAAACGATTTCATCGTAACTATTTAGCTCTATTCCCCATCTCCCGGCATCTTCATTTGCTCTGAGCGCAGGCATCAGCTTTTACTTTGCCAACTGTTAGTGCCGGGCAAATATCAGGGGCTGGGGCTAGGGACGATGAGCTGCTGGCTGAGGAAGATTGGGTTTAGAGCAGATTTCTCCATCCTGCCCACCCCTGCATTCCTGGCAGGGCCGAGTGAAGGGAATGGGTTATTTCACCACAGAACTCATCTCTTTTTGGAGCGGCTCGGCTCAGTTTTGAGGGTGGCAGGAAGGAAGAGGATGGAGAGGAGAAGCCTCGGCACGGAGCTGGAGCATCCTTCCCGCGCGTGGTGGCTGTTCCTGGGCTTTGCCTGCCTTCCCTTGCGGCGCTGGTGGGGGCACATTGTGTTTCTAAAGCAAATGAAGAGGGCGCGTTGCTGCGCATCCCTATTTAGGGAAAAATCAAAAGAGGGGGGGTGGGAATCGGTGGGTCCAAGCCCTGGCTGGTTCTTACCCCCCTCTTCCTCCTCTACCCTTCCCCCAGCAAGATACATCGGCTGCTACGTGGACAACACTCGCCGGCGAACGCTGCGCGGCGTGTCCTTCTTTGACTACAAGAAGATGACAGTCTTCCGTTGCCAGGACAACTGTGCCGAACGGTAGGGCGGGAGACGGGCGCCGCGTCTCCATCAATTCCCGCACACGGCCAGCGTTCCTCTGCTGTCACCGTTCCCCGCCCGGCTGCTCCCCTCCCCTGCCTCCCGCCTGCCTTCTTTTTTCTTTACATTTATGTGTTTTCCCAGACCCTAGTTTCCTCCTCCGGGAAAAAAGCCAGGAGGGATGATGGGCTCCATCCTCGTACGGGGCAGGGAGGGTGTAAGGGCTCCAATTTGGTGCTGGGGAAGCCTGGAAGCCCCCCGCCAAAACACTGTCCCCCACCAAACCACCCTCCCCAGACCTTCCTAGCTGTTGAAGCGTGTCTGTGAGCATCTGGGGAGGCACATGGATCCCTGGCTGCTGAAGTTTTCCCCTTTTCCCAGCGAAGGATGTGCCCAAGACATGGCCCACGCCACGGGGTGGGCAGCACTGCAGGCAGCTTGGTGCCCCTGTGCCCCCCCCCCCGGAGCCAAAGCCTGACCGTGCAGCACCCCACGCCGCCTGGGGTGCACGTTACTGCACAGGACCATTGCCCATGGCCGGGGCAGGGGCGCACGTCCCCCATCGCCGGGGCAGGGGCACGTCCCCTGCACGGGGCTGATCCACCTCAGCAGGACGCTCGCTGGGATGGATCCGTGCCGTGAGCCGAGCTGACTGCTGCGGCGCATCCTCGGTGCCGCTGACCCGGGGCTGCTCCATGCCAGAGCCCCCCCAGCCCCGCAGCGGGACTTGCCAGGCCGGCGCTGAGGGGCGCACGTCCCCCATCGCCGGGGCAGGGGCACGTCCCCTGCACGGGGCTGATCCACCTCAGCAGGACGCTCGCTGGGATGGATCCGTGCCGTGAGCCGAGCTGACTGCTGCGGCGCATCCTCGGTGCCGCTGACCCGGGGCTGCTCCATGCCAGAGCCCCCCCAGCCCCGCAGCGGGACTTGCCAGGCCGGCGCTGCCTCTCTCCAGGGGGTTTCCAGCCCCCCTGCAACCTTCCCCTGTTCAAATCCAGTCTGTATCGAGCAGCCCAGCTCTCCCGCTCTGAAGCCCAGCAAAGTCCCTGTCACTTATTCCTGCTCTGCCCCCACCCATTGCATCCTCCCTGCATGTAAGAAATGTTGTGCTCTCCTGCTTTATGAATGATCGCTGTGGCCCGTGGAGCCCTTTCCCTTAGAATAGAAATAGGAATAGGAATAGAAATAGAAATAGAGTAAAATAGGAATAGAATAGAATAGAAATAGGGATAGGACTAGGGATAGGGATAGAATAGGAATAGGGATAGAATAGGGATAGGGATAGAATAGAATAGGGATAGGGATAGAATAGAATTGGAATAGGAATGGAATGGAATAGAATAGGAATAGAATACTTCCAATTGGAAGGAACCTACAATGATCGTCGAGTCCATCAATGCATCCATGGGATGCTGTGCTGCTTCCAGCACTGGGTGTGAGCTGGCTGCAGTGGGGATGCTCGGGCAGAACCCCACGGAGCCAGGGGGTGCCTGGGGAGGTGCTGACACCCACACCACCCCCCGTTTCCCTCTCCCCAGGGGTTACCTCTACGCAGGGCTGGAATTTGGTGCCGAGTGCTACTGCGGGCACAAGGTCCAGGCATCGAATGCCAGCGAGTCCGAGTGCAACATGGAGTGCAAGGGGGAGAGGAGCAACATCTGCGGCGGGGTCAACCGCCTCTCCATCTATCGCCTGGAGCTGGCCCAGGAGTCCGCCCGGAGATGTGAGTTGGTGGCACCCATGCAACTCCCGGCTCAGCCCCAAAACGGGGGAACCCCTCACGGTGCGGGTGGGGGTGAGCCCCGGCATCCCCCTCCTGCGGCAGCTGGGTCAGGGCTTGGGAGAGGCGCTCTGAAAGTGGTTCGGGTCTGTGGCCGGGGGAGTTTTGCTCCTGCGAACCACCCCCAGGGGGGGTTTGGCCGGGAGCATCGTGGGGTCCTGCTCTGGTCCGGGGATGCTGCAGTGCAGTTCGCTCCGGGGACGCGATGCCTGTAAGCAGGCAGGGGAAAAGCTGGCAGTGGGCATTGCTGGACTATGTATTAATTAAAATTAGGTAAATTATCAGGTGGAGGAATAGAAAGGCCTGCAGGTGGGGACAGTCCTGTCCTCCCATCGTGGCCTCCCCAGCAGAGGATGGTGGGGAATGATCCGTCACATCTGTTAAATACGAGCGGCTTCAGATCCCCCTGCGGGGGTGGCTGCCGGACGGGGCTGGGTGGAGCGGGGAGCCCCAGGGATCTCACCAGGAATTCAGGGCAATTTGGGGCACTTTGGATGAAGACCTCTTCTCTGATGCCCAAACAGGACCATCTTTGCATTAGAGTGTGCTGCCGGTGGGGCTGGCTGCGGGATGAAGGATGCACGGGAGCTGCAGAGGGAGCCAAGGGTGCTCCCCGTCGCAAGCGCTCGTTTGGCTCCCGATTAGGCAGCACTATAATTACCCACATTTGCTGCTTTTCTTTGGGAGCCGGAGGAAAGCAGCCACTGCACTGATGGGCAGGGAGGGGGACGGGGATGCTGGGGCACGCAGATGCTCTTGCTCCCAAGCCTGGGGCACACAGGGTGGCAGCGGCATCATTTTTGGGGTGCAGCCCCTGCTCCTGATGGCCAGGCCAGCATTGCTCTCGGCGCCACTGTGGCTTCTCTCCCTCGCAGATGGCAGTGCCATATTTCGGGGGTGCTTTCGCCAGCCGGACAACGTCTCCATCGCCCTGCCTGTCAGCCAGCTCATGCTGAACATGTCGGTGGACAAGTGCGTGGACTTCTGCACTGAGAAGGTACTGGGGGACCAGGGAGGGGGGGTGTGCAGGTCAAAAGCTTAATCATCTAAATCTTCATCATCAGAGAGGGTCACACTGCGTAAATCTTAATCCGATTTGTTTTAATAATTACGTATATCCAAGCTACAAATGATGGTGTTGAGTGTGTCTCTGCTGCGGGGAGGGACTGGGCCTGCAGCAGCCGCCCCAGGGGGGGTTTGGCCGGGAGCATCGTGGGGGCCTGCTCTGGTCCGGGGGT